AAAAAGTGCACAACTATTTTTGAGCAAATTAGCTAGATGTTGGAGAATAAAAATATACGGTTGATATTCGGGATGTGGATATAGCTCTTCTCGTCACTTACATCTCACACCCACATCCGCTGTTGCACATCTTCTGAGAAGCGTTTGAGAATGCTTCATCAGTTATTTTTTCGTCGAAACTGCTTTATCTGAGAAAAAAGTAACATCTTCTTCTAAACATCTCCATAAATGTTCGTAATTTTTCTTGTGAAATATCACCTTAGAGCCAAAGATTGTCCGATTGATTTTTTTTAACATTAATAAAGATACTAAAAAATATGGAAAATGGCATTGCCCATTGGAAAACACTATCGGAGTTGGTAATCAATATACTTGTGGATAATGTGCATATATAAGTATTTCAATTCTGATTGCAACCATGCCGATTATATTTGAAATCAGCTCGATTTATTTATCGTTTGTTCAATTTCTCTGTAAGACCTTGAGAATATTATTATAAACCGAGATTCTAACTTTGTGAGCACGAATAAACGAATGTCAATTATATCTTCAGATGAAATGAGACTTTTTTTAACTTTGTTTTTTGTTTGAATGGAACATTTAAAAAGAATGCACTAAGTAAAACAGATATGAAAATTCATGTGTATCTGAAAAGCATAAAGAAATTTTTAATTAACACTTGCTGACGACAATGTCTCGGCAGACGCTTTCTATGAAAGGATGCTACCTTTGAGCGTCTATTATTAACATCTGTACTATTCATGGAAAGTCATGAAATAATTAAAGATATGAGCAAGGACAAACAACTAAATTAATAAAATAGTGCAATGCAAATCCTATTACTACATTATTCGCTGACTTCCTTAGGGCAGTACAAAAGTACTGGTGGAGGTATTTTAATTTCATATGAACAGCTTAAAGACATTTTCTCTCTATATATAGTTTGATAGTAAAAAAAATGCCTTTTTTCTATGATATTTGATCATTCTTCAACTAATATCATAATAATAAAATTTCAATAAGACCTGCTTAATTATGTCTCATGGTAAAATTACTTTATATTGTCTTCTTCATGTTTTTTCTTTTTTGATTTTCTCTTTTATTCTTTTTTCGTCTCTTTTAATGCATAACTGTCTACATAATTATATAAAGGATGTTCCATAAGTTCTGGGCCTCGACGAAAATTAGTTTCTATATAAATAAAGAGTGACCAATACCTAACTATATTAAATATGAGCTTCGAGCCTTGAAGACGCTCTTTAGAATGGCATATTATGAGATGACATTTCGTCAGCTCATAATGGTAATATGAGCATGAGACTGTTGATGATCAAAACGTTCGAATCGACCAGTGTGTTTTCAATGATCGAAAATAAGATATAGTTGATTTGCTAGAAGTTCGTATTAATGTGAAATCAAAGAAATGTCTTATTGAATTGAAAAAATATCAATAATAAATAATAAAATGTTCAAATCAAAATAAATCGAAAAAATAACAATGATAAACAATTAAATGATCGGATCAACATGTGATTATTTGGAAGTATTCTTGATATGCTTAGAGAAAACAATATTCCGAATAGAAAACGGAATACTTTCTTTTTTCGTTCTGTTGTCAAATGTTCATGATTCGCTCAGCTGGGGTATAAGTTAGGTGAAAACACGTATAGTGCTTCATAATATCGATCAGAAAAGCGGCCACAATACTTCGTTTTACTTTCTATGATTCTTTCTCTACACATACAATCAGTTTGTAGTCTATTAAAATGTCTCGAAAACACACTGGTCGATTCGAAGGTTTTGATCATCACCATTCTCATGCTAATATTACCATTATGAGCTGACGAAATGTCATCTCATAATATGCCATTGTAAACAGTATTTTCAAGGCTCGAAGCTCATATAAATATAGTTAGATATTGGTCACTCTTTGTTTATATAGACAATAATTTTTATCAAGGCCCAGAAGTTATGGGACACCCTTTATATATAGAGAGAGACTCACGTCTTGTTTGCTTTGCTTGTATCTAGGTTAAATCTTGATATTTTTCACCTCTGTGCCAGATGAATAAGAAAACTTTTTGCTCCTAGATTGAAGTGCGCATTGTACTTAGTATTCAAGCAAGAGTTATTTAATGATGATTTATTTGGTATTTGTGGTGACAAACGTCTTTCTCTTAGGACAGTTGAAAGATTATCTAAATGATTTCATGAAAGTCAATAAGAAGTTGACGATAAAGCATAATCGTCATATATCATAACCAAGCAGATCTTATGGGCATTTTATTATTATGATATTAATTGAACAAAGATCATATATCATGCAAAAAACAGAGCATTGTTTTTACTATTACACTATATATATAGAGAGAGAAAATTTCTTTAGGTTGTTTATAAGAAATTAAAATACTTCCGCCAACTCTTTTGAATCGCTCTAAGTATTTGCTAAAAACAAAAACTCAAGCATATTTTCATCCGCAAAAATACATCTATTACTATTTGATTGTCTTGTTTTTCCTCGACGACCGGTTGGTAATTTCCTTCTATTGTCATGAACTCTATTATAGAAAAATGGAGTGTAGTGACGTCTTTCCTAAGCAGCATCTATCCACCTCGTCACTAGGCAATACGACGAAGCTGACTAATAAAGGATTACTCTTTAATGTGTCTGAATTGAAAAAAGAATGTATTGTTCCTCGATTGCCCTGAGTCTTTTTACAATTTTCTCTTATACTGCGTAATTTAAATAATGTCATGTCAAATATAACTTAAGCGTTCACTTCGTCATATTTAATACTAGACAGAAGCACGATACTGAAGATTTTATTGTATACGCTTGAACTAAACATGGGCTGTAATTCATCACGAATGACAAATGTACCGAGCTTATTAACAGCCGAACAGAGTCATTTTCTTGTCCGAGATACTTGGACAGATGTATGCAATAAATATTACGAAGAAGTTGGCGTCAGTTTTATGGTTCGGTCTGTTTAACTTATGTTTTTAATTAGCTCAATCAAATGTAGATTGTTTTTTTTTCTAGAATTTTTCAAGATTATCCTGAATTAAGAAAACTCTGGATTTTTGCTGTCAATCTTGACAAGGAACAAGAAATTCGAGACAATTCACAAGTACGCTATCATGCTGCAAAAATCATGTACATTCTTAACGAAATCATTAACCATATCGAGGACTATGACAAACGACGTCGTATTCTCGAAGGTCTTGGTCAAATCCATTTTATGTACGATGTACAACCGGCCTATTTTCAGGTAAATTTTATATATGAATGCGGATAAAAATTTGAATTATCATCTTATTTGAAATAGGCAGCAAAATCTTCTTTGGAGCGTGTATTAATTTCGATTCTGGGCAAAAATTTTACACATCATCATAAACAAGCATGGACTTATCTTTTTCAGCAGATTGTTGTCGATTTGGGCAGAGGTGTCGAACAACAGACAGCTTTTTCCGGTCGTCTCAAGAAACAATCCACAATCACCACCAAATATCCAATGTAACCACTATCAAATCTTTTTTTATCTTTGAACTCTTAAAATGTATATATAGACCGATGTAAAGATTCAATTAAATCACGCGCTATGGTATTTTTTGTCAAAATACATATGATCAAAAATAATTTTTCAAACGATTTTTTTCATCGAGAATATTGACCGGAGAAGAAATACTTCGAATGTAAGTGTTACTGAAGAGAAGACTCAAAACTTAAAACTGTAGTCCACACCCGCACCCTTGTATCAATAGTTATGGTTGAGCCTACCCGAGTCTATCACAGCGTGTGTTGGTGTGAGGATGTTGGGGCGAGGGTATACCTACATCCTTGTTAACAGTTTAGACGCTTCTGAAGCTTGATATATATGAAGAACTTGAAGAAGAAATATGTTTATATCTAACCGACAGAAACTTTCTATCTCTTTCTGAAAATGCGTCCGTCGCTTTGTACCTAGTTTTCAGTGACATTGAATTTACTTTTGTTGTCCACGCTGAAGCTATCGCGCGTTCGATTTTCATTTTCCATAACGGCAACAGTTATTCTGAATTTCTCTTCCATCTTCTTAGCCTGGCCGACGATTTGGTCGTCAAGGGGTAATAGGCACTTTTTCCCATTGACATTGCACCACACCTCGCTGTGATTATAGTGAGAAGCACCATTGTTGCGGAGTTCTTCAAGATGCCGATGACACACGTCATCTCGAACAAAGTGCGAGATTAACTCGAGTCGTGTGAGTATCTTGATCATCTGCTAGTAATGAAAGCCTAATCGTTTTATATTTTGCTAAAGAGTTTT